CCTTCTTGAGAATGAACAAGGCTCTAAGGTGGCTGGAAGTCAAAGGGATTCTCTGGGGCATAAAGGGAAAAAGAACCCCTACTTTTACTTTGCATTACCAGAGTGACTTTTTCTAGAGAGGAATGCAGTCAAGTTATGTTTCTCTGTTAATAATAATACACAGTTTAAATGAGATCTGTGTTAAGCACTCAACATGGGCCTGTACACAGCACTCAAGTGTTAGCTGTTGCTATGGTTTCTTTTAGGAACATGAAGCTTTTCAATATGATGATTCTTTTCTAAAGGGAAAAAATAATACAATAACCCAACAGAGCCTGGCTGGCGTGGCTCAGTGGTTGAGCGTCAGTGACCCATGAACAAGGAGGTCACACTTCGATTCCCGGTCAGGGCGCATGCCCGGGTTGCGGGCTCAATCCCCAGTGTAAAGTGTGCAGGAGGCAGCTAATCAATGATTCTCTCTCCTCATTGATGTTTCTATCTCTCTCTTCCTCTTTCTTCCTCTTTGAAATCAATAAAAACATATTTTTAAAAAATAACCCAAAAGATCGTAAAATCTGTACATGTACTCTGTCATATAGCATTCAATTCTTCTGCAAAGGTAATAATGTAAGAAATACACTCGGGTGAACCATCAGGGAAATGTAAGTCAAAACTACAATGATCCACTCAGAGGGCTATAATAAAAAGGACATAATACCAAGTATTGGCAATGACGTGGACAAATTGGAAACCTCATGGACTGCTGTTGGGAATGTAAAATGGGGCGTTGCTTTTGGTAAACAGTCTGGCAGTTGGTTTCAAAGGTTAAGCATAGAGTTATCATATGATCCCAGAATTCCACTCCTAGGCAAATACCCAAGAACAATGAAAACACATATCCACATAGAAACTTGTACACAAATGTTCATAACAGTATTATTTATAATAGCCAAAAAGTGGAAACAACCCAAAAGTTCGTCATCTGTTAAATGGATAAGTTGTATTTCTTTATAGTGAATACTATTTGGCAATACAAAGAAATGAGGTTCAGATACACACTACAACACAGATGGACCTTGAAGACATTACGCTACATGAAAGGAGCCAGACTCAAAAGGTCACATATTGTATGAACCACGGAAGGTGAAATGTCCGGAAGAGGGAAGTCCACAGAGGCAGAAAGCAGTCTGGTGGTTGCCCAGAGTTGGAGGAAAATGGGGAGTGACCATTAGGGTACAGAGATTCTTTTTGGGGTGATGAAAACATCCTGGAATTAGATAGTGGTGATGGCTGCATAACTCTGAAAATACCAAAACCCACTGAATTGTGTACTTTAAATAGATGAATTACATCTCAATAAAGCTGTTATTTAAAGAAAAAAATATATATATAGGAAGTAAAGATTATCCAAATAACAGACATTTGAAATAATGAACAGAACAGGTTGGAGTGGCACGTGTTTCACCTAAAGATGATGTCGTGTTTACAGTACAGCAGCCTGGCGGAGGTCACAGGTGTGGAGGATGGCCCAGGGCAGGGGAGAGATCGGGTGACCACTCTGATGTCTTCTGTTTCCGGTGGGGTGAGACCCCAGGAGAGCTACTGATTAGTTGGTAACACTGGATGGAAATGACACTATTCTAACTAGTGTCACAGGGCTCAACGAAGTAAGAGTGATGATAGCATCTACTAAATTAAATTACTGAATTACAACCCAGGGCCCTGCTGCTTAAAGTTACATCTTGTTTCTCAGAAATTTGCACGTGTCCTTAGAGGAGGAAAATAAGCTAAATAAGCATCATATCCAAAAAGAAGTCATCAGCAAAGAATGTGTTTAACCCTTGAAAGTCTTCAGAAATCTGAATGTATTAAGAAGATGGCCCATGCAAAATGTTCTTCATTTTCACATCACTTTTTAAAAATAATATCTCTACAACATCATCTAAACATAAGGGTCGCCCTAGCTGATTTGGCTCAGTGGAAAGAGCATCGGCCTGTGGACTGAAGGGTCCTGGGTTTGATTCTGGTCAAGGGCACATGACCGGGTTGTGGGCTCGATCCCCAGTAGGGGGTGTGCAGGAGGCAGCCAATTCATAATTCTCTCATCATTGATGTTTCTCTCTCTCTCTCCCTTACTCTCTGAGATCAATAAAAATATATTTGAAAAATAAATAAATAAACATAAGGGTGAACCTAAGAGGCCAACACAGATGGAATCTTAAATGTGACTAAAGAAATAATATGTGACAAACAGTAAATCAGATAAAGTAAAAACATAAAGAAAACATACCAAAATATCACTCTTACACGAAGCTGCAACTTCTCGCATATCTCTAAACGGCTTCAGTAAGTACTGGAAGAACGTGGTTGCCACGGTAACAAATTCCTGGTATGCTCCATCTTCTTCTCCATAAACTTCCATTAACGCCACCATAGTGTTGGCTCTTTCATGGCCCTGAAGAATCTGGAAGGCAAACAGCAGGTAAAGCGCAAGGATGGACAGGACCAGGTCGGACCAAACACACAAAACTAAAGACACCTTCATGCTCCAAACGTCCATGTATCAGGGGGAAAACAGAGTCCACACTTTTATCTTAACTGCGTACGAAATACTCAGAGAAAAGAGGACCCGGAAGACTCATCAAATAGTAAGTGGTGATCTCTGGGGTGTAGGCGGTGGATGATGCTTCTCCACCACTTTCCTGATGACAAAGGTTTTGTGATGCTGCAATTATAGAGGTGCCTCCGACTACCTCCCTGGCGCAGAGACTCTCTCAGCTCTCCCATGTTAAAAGGGCCACCAAGCCCTAGCTGGTGTGGCTCAGTGGCTAGAGCAGCGGTTCTCAACCTGTGGGTTGCAACCCCTTTGGGGGTGGAACGACCCTTTCACACTAAGACCATCGGAAAACACATATATAAGAGCCCCCAGGTTCCATTCAGGTCCAGGGCACAGGCCGGGTGCCGGGCTCCATCCCCAGTAGGGGGCGTGCAAGAGGCAGCCGATTGATGTCTCTCTCTCATCACTGATGTTTCCATCTCCCTCTCCCTTCCTCTCTGAAATCAATAAAAAACATATTTTTAAAAAATAGTGCCAGCAAGCCCCCAGCAGAGTGGGGGCTTACGTCTCCGCAGAGCGCTTCTCCCGACATCTGGGCAGAAAATGAACTGCGCTCCCATTTAACTGCCCGCGTCCCCTCTCTGGACTTCCTGCGCGCCCCGCAGACCCCCTGGCTGCTCCCGGCAGGTGAACGGCACCTGTGACCCCGCGCCCCGTCCTCCACATCGGACCATGAACTTGCTCCTCCGCAGTCCGGGTCCCTTGGAAGACACCCCCCCTCTCCCTTGTCGCCCTCCGATGGCCCAGGGACACTAACGGGGAAGGGGGGCGCGCCCGCGTACCTGCTGCAGCCGCGCGCCCGCCTCCGCCAGCCGCGCGCGCAGGGCGCGCTCCCGGAAGGCGCGCGGGCTCTCGCA